TGGCCGCCCAGTGACGGCGCGTCGCCCTGCCCCGCCACGCGGCCTCTCTCCCTTGCTCGCCTCGCCCTCCGTTAGCGACAGAGCGCAACGCAGCGAAAGCGTCCATCGGCGACACAGGCGCCTCTCAAAAGAGCTGTCGTCTTCCTTGGAGATGCCGAGCCAGATTTTCATCCTGCAACTTAAATTGTACTGAAATCTGTAGGATGGCTCCGGTCTTAGAAAGGCAGTGGTTCCACCACAGTCTGAGAATAAGAGTTGGTTCAGACCGTGGTGATTTCCACATGCCACGTGATACACCCCGCTGTCCTTAAAGACTTCTGGAGGAACTGGCACTTAGGAGGGAATGCGGAGGAGAAGCTTCGCTACTGCTGCAAACAGACAAATGCAAATCTCTGCTTCTGCTCTGGCAGCAGTCAAAAAAGCAAACCATGAGCATCTGTCTGTTTTTCTGAGATATGTACACCGTAGTATTTGAGTACTTCTCACACTGAGAGATTCAGCAAGCAGCACCTAAGACGAGAATTAGAAGGGAACAGGAGGGAAAACAATACTGAAAACAGTAGACCAGTGGTCTGCTTGCACCTGGAGTAGTACATGTGGTTCCGATTGCTCCATCTTAGGAAGGGCTGTAGCAAAAAGAAAGAGGGTTACAAAGGTCCAACAAAAAGAACAGCAGTATGAAAAAAGTTCCAAATACAAGAAGCCTGGGAATCTGTTTAGTTAGAGAAGGAAGAGGGAGGAATATAGAATATTGCCCTTTACAGAAAATAATGCCTCTTTTACAGAAAAAGGTTAATTGAATTCTTCTGTTTAGCTATTCGTAGAATATATGCTCAAGGAGACAGTCAAAAGGACTGAAAATTAAAACTAAGTGAATGAAACCCCATTTTGTGCAAAAGCCACTATGGAATTAATTACCCCAGGGAAATGGAGACAGGAAGCTCAGGGATAGACCCAGACATCTCTGGCTGAGGATTAAAGAAAAGCTTGGCTTGGGTGTGACGGTCTTTGTGTTTGGGGTGTTGGCCGCTCTCCCCGGATGGCGAGGGAAAGCTATGTTTCTTCTACAGGAACACTCCTCCGTAACTGCTTTTTTCAGCACTTCCTAGCAGTGCTGTGGAAGCGCCTGGTGCTGCTGACCTGGAAAGGGCTGCCTGCTTATGTGGAGCCCAGGCGTGATGTGCCGGGCTGTCACCATTCCTATTCACCTGTGTTTAAGATTTTCCATGGAGATTTTGAGCCCTCTCATCTCTCCTTAAAGCAAGTGATATGAAGTTTAAAAGCAAATTCCAGAGCTCTCCAAAGCACTTGCTGGAACTCCTACCTGATTTCAGGGCATTCTGCAACCACACTGTGTACAAAAGTGTCCTGTGAGCTCAGCCATGCAGCTCAGGAGCTAACTTCTTAAGAGACTACAGAAATCTCAACCTTCTTGCGAGCACTCTATCAATGTGATCATTTGCTTTAGATATCATTGCCTTTCCTGGGGTGAAGCCCAGACCTCACCACCCCCCTGACCTCTCCCAGCAGCAGCTATTAGTAACCCCATTGGGCATCACAGCACGGTGGAGCAGAAAATTTCCCTTCTAAGTACAGGGAGGGGTGAGGGGCAAGGCCAAGTTTTGTTCCTCTTCCCCATTCTTGTAGTGGAACAGCCAAAGCGCCTGATGTACTCTGTCCCAAGCCCAGAACTGAGCTGCTCTCCAGAGACAACTTTGATCATGGACCTTTTTTGTAGGGCCAGCTGCTTAATGTGCTCTCTATCTGTATTTGACAGAAAGGTAGCAAAAGTGACACACCAGTCACTGTGGTGAACGCAGAGTTCAATGGCGTGATCTTGGGAGAGTCCTCCAAGACTGATGTATTGCCAAATGGGACAGCAGAGTACAATTTCACAACCAGCTTTGAATACAACCCTGACGGGCCCAACTCCTTGGACCACATTGTGCGAAGTCCTGTGCTCTGTAAGTACCTGACACTGACTCTCACTCCTTGGAGGTGGGTGCTCCCAGCAGCTCTGCTCTGCCCACCTGCCACAGAAGTTGCTCGTTTGAGACTAGCACTTAAGCAGCAGCAGTGTAGGGTTCTCCACACCTCTGTACTCATCTCTGCCAGCCAGAAGAACCTCCTTCCATGTTGGCCTGTGCCCCTGAGCTTTGCTCTTCCGTAGAGCCTTGGGGGATGAAGTAAGAGGGCTTGCCAGAGCTGACACAGACCCTTTGCAGCCCCTGTCTGATCTCACTGCTCTTAACTGCTGATCTGAAGCTGACTGAGCAACTCTGCCAGCTGCTGTCTATCTTTCTCCCTAGTGACCGTGACAGAGGTGTTGCCAAAGGAGAAGAGACAGAAGGAGGAGAAGACCATACCCCTTGGCCAAGCTGTGGTGGACCTTCTACCTCTGCTGCAAGGTACAACGTAGACTTGCAGAGCCTCCATGGCCACTTCTTACACCCCTCACCTTTTGATCCTTGCTCATGGACCCCTCGCTATAACTTACCTTCTGTTGACAAAATGGGCTTCATGCTCTCTTTAGAAAGCTGGCTCCTGGAGGAGAGGGGGTGATACCAGCAGCTCAGCTTTAGCAATTCACTGAAGATTTCTGTACAAGGGATCTTATTTTATCCTGTTCTCATTCCTGTTTCTTCCCAGGACAGTGTTCATTTACGGTCTCAGCTCCTTTGTATGCTGTGCCTACCTCTCCATTAGAGAGCGTTCCCCCGGAGGCCAAGGTATGTGGAATCTGGAAGCGTTCCTTCGCTCATTCATCCCTGTGCTGCTTTTTAATGGGAAGGCGAGCATGACTCAGCCACCTAGCACATCGCGTATATGTTACGGCCCTATATATTAAAAGCTTGGAGGCCTTTCCTGCTCCCATTGACGTCTGTCCCAGGTTGCTTATGATAGCTGAGGTAGAGCTAGGAAATGCTAATGTGTGCAGCTCCTAAATTGCCCTGGAAAAAACATTCAAGATGCAAAGTATAGTGCTGAAAAATCAGTAAAAGGCAAAGGCAGGATTGCCTGCCCAACTTTATTAGTCTTCCCTTCTGTCGATAAAATGTCTCAGAGTCCGTTATTACAAAGTTTCTCACTGCTTTTCCTGCAAGGTCCTCATTCATTCAGCAAGTTGAAAAGTGCCCAGTGAATAAAGCAGTGAATGAAGTATGAGGCTGAGAAAACGTGTCTAATTTTGCTCCAGATTTTGCATGCAGTAGCACTGCAAGTGAATTGGATTGTGGATATTGCACTAACTTTACTGCATTTAAGAGGTGTTACATAATAAGTGAGGATAATAAAAGCTGGACAGCTGTTTTTTTATTGCAAGCCGTCCAATTACCCGTTGGGACGGGTAATTAAAGAGCGTACACAGCGTGTGCAGAAAGAGCAGAGCTAAAGTGCGACCCTAGCCTCGGCATGCTCTGCATCGTGAGGGCGTTGTCTTCCATCCCGATGTTCTTTCACCATGGCTTGTTTCATTAGACCCTGCTTCTACATATCCCATGCCCTGAGCAGGCTCTGCTTTAAACAAGAAAGTATCACAGTTCAGACGTATGACAAATTGATCATGAGATTTCTTTCCTGTGCTGGTCTGTTTTCTTTTATATCTGAAGTGATGAATAAGATGATATACATTCTGGCCTTGATTTCTCTGCTTACTTCTCCCTCAAGAGCAGGCGAATTATAATTGTCTGGCTATTGCCTCTAGTTTATCCTTGTCTCGCAGTGTGGCCTTGAAGTGACTGTGTGTGTCCAAGAGCCCCTGCTTTCTGCAACTCAGCTTTCAAATGGTAATCTCCTGAGCGTCACCTTGGAGGCAGCTTATTCTGTCCCTGAAGCCTTTGTTCCCGCTGGACCCCTGCAAAACTACATGGCTTGCCTGCAAGTACCAGCAGCTGGGGAGGTGAGAATTGGTCCAGGCACTGAGAGATGGGTCTCGGCTGCTACGAAGCAGGTTGTTATCCCACACCGTGCACGATGGAACGGGTGACCAGGCCCATGGGAGTGTACAGCTGTTCCTGTGCTTGTGCTACAGCAGTGTTTGTTGTGATTGCTCGTGGTCTCTGTGGTGTGATGTGTTTCTTCAACACTAGTGAAGGTCTGTGTGTTTACGTGGCAAGATTTGGTTTCAAACTGGCAGGATTTTTCCATGTGGCTATTTGTTTTTTCTCACTTCTCTATGTGCATGCGGTGGAGTGTCCTTTCCAAGCCAGGCCCCTGCACTGCTTCTTTGCTTTGTTGGACCCAGCTCAGAGCAGCTGATATTTGCTCCTGCTCATGTTGGAGATGTGAAAGTCCTTTCACTCTCATATCCCTCTAGAGAGAATTCCCCTTGATCTTCAGGAATGGTGTCCCGAAGCTTGGCGGTGAAAAAGAGCCGTTACCCCGGCCCAAAAAATGGCCGCTTGGTAACATCATGGCCCCTGGTGCTCTCAGCATACCCAACTCCTTCATTGTTGGTGGCCCCTATGAGGATGAGGACGGAGAGCTCAACAAAAGAGAGGTGAGAAAGGGCTGACAGTGTCATGATTGGCTTTTAATGCTAATAGGCTGTGGTGCTGCAGGGCAGCTGCTACCTTGCTCTGCTGGGATGTCGTGTATGTGGTGAGTGAAGCGCCTCTCCGGCTGACCCAGGTTCTCTCCTGGGGAAAATCTTGTGGGGGTGATGATGCAGGCTTTGGAGTTTGCTTTCCTGCCTCTGACCACGTGCTGTTTCTCACAGGACAGAGAGTTCAGGGTCCAATCAGAAAGCTTGAAGAGGAGGATCGTATGGGACATGGAAAGACGTTGCTACCTAGATCCTGCTGCAGTACTCGTGTAAGAGAGCTGAGACCCTCCCTTCCAACACTGAGTGGTGGGGAAAAGCCACCCTAGAATTCACTTAGTCTAGTGACCTGTCTCTGGCAACGTGATGATGTTCTCAGACCTCTTACATGGTCAAACCGTGGCTCTGCCTTGTCTCCAGGTGTCTGCTGGCTGGAGGTATTTATATGAGCAAAAAAGCAGCTACTGCCTTTCATTGCTGGCAGCAGCTCACTTCTGCCATGATGGGAGATGATGATCTTCATGACTGGTCTTGTTCCCTCCCATGACCTCTTTGGGGCTGTAACATAAAGGTTTGAAGGAAGGGGCAGCAGGGGTATTGTCAGCAGACATGGAGCGCGGTGGCCCAAACTGCTCTCCTCTTAGCTGCCAATTGAATTTTGCTAAATTCCCAATATATTAAAACCCTCTCACTCTCTCATTTGATTTTTTTTTTTTATTGGATAAGCATTACCTATTATGGCTCCAGATATTCTCAAGATCAGGGTAAATATCCCATTGCTCTTTGAAGCCTGCTACGTTCTTGGCCTCAGATGCATCCTATTGTCATGAGTTTCACAGCCAAATTACTTCCCATGTGTGGAAATATTCCCTTTTATCTGGTTTGAATTTTTTTCCTACACTTTCATCAGCCTGCCTGCCTGTTTTGGAGTTATCGGGCACACTGAATGGGAGCTCAGGGTCTGCTTTCTCTCTGTAATTCAGGATTTATACCAACGTTAATCATGTTCCTTTTTTTTCGCTTCATTTCTGAAGTAACCAGGGGAGGGAGAAAATCTAGTGTGTTGCTCTCACCATTGTTTAGCTATTAGTGCCATAAATTCACATAGCACTGGATGGAGGGGAAAATGTGCCAGACGGGCACCCTGCTACAAAGTGCGGCCGGGTGCTCGCGCTGTCTTATTGGAGTAGGTGAGAGCAAGCACAAGGAGGGTGCTTTGGGGCTGCACAGAGCAGAACGAAGGGCCTGGTGGCTGGTGAGGGAGAGCTCTCTTGCTTGATTTCTGCAACTCCTCAGTGCCCTCCCCTGTTTTCAGCCTGCAGAAGCGCATTGCAGAGTGCCGCTTCTGGCCTGTGGAGGTCTGCAGGATGCCTGTGGTCTCTTCCAGTAAAGGGAAAAACAGCAAAGCTGACAAGGTAAAAGTGGGGCGTGATATGCTGTTCTGGCTAGTGGAGAAGCATTGTGTTATCATGCATTTTTCCCTTTAATGTCTTTAATATACCAAAGCCGGCCTTGAACCAGCGAAAGGGAGTCAGAGGGCTAGTGGCTGCTAGGGAGTAATGAGCCTTATAGAGCTGTTAAATAAACAAAGGAAAATATTTTTTCTTATAGTGTACAGATCTCTTGCTGAAGGTCTGAAGTAGCTTGGGTCAGGGAAGAGGTGCTTTTTGAGAACTGAAATAATTCACTGAGCTTATCCACAGAGGTTTTTAAGCATGCCCTCTTTCTCTGAGTGTAAATAAGTTATGCTCTTGTACTTAAACTGGGATGCTTTAGCAAAGAAGCAACTCCTTAGCTAATGATTCTGGTCCTCGTGGCTGATCATGTGAGAGCTCCTAGTCTGTTCCAGCACAAAGTCACCCAAGTTAGTATAAATCCCATTCAGCACTCACTGGTGCCAGGGTTTTGCAGTATCTGTGTTGGAGATCCTCCTCCATCATCAGCCCAGTGCTAGCCCAAACTCTCAGATCTCATTAGGTACCTGATTTTTGTCAGACCTGAAATCCTCACAACTCTGGAAGGGTTGTTTGGATTTCTAACCGAAGGATCAATAATTTAGCAGCTGTATCTTGAAAAGACCATCCTGGGTTATGGCACAGTGTGGGCATTAGGAAGAAAAGCTGCCCTGCAGAGATTGGAATAAAATTGGGATTCTGCATATAGAACGACTCCAGTGTTTTCTTCCAGGCTGTCTTGGCTCTGTGCCAGCGACATATCGCCACTGGCTCATCAGGTGCATCAGTTTGCTGTGTGGCCTTTACTTAATGGGATCGGTGACCTTGTTTGCTTCAAGAGAATAACAGTCAGTTCAGTAACTCCGTCCCTTGCTCTGTGTTTCCAGGGAGATGACGACGGACAGATTTTCTTCCATGGTGTGGCATATGTCAACATGGTGCCTTTGCTGTACCCCGGCGTGAAACAGATACGAGGGGCTTTTCGTGTCTTTGCCTATAAAGACAGCGAGGTGTTTGAGAAGGTAAGCGCAGGCCAGGCTCCGGGCCACCTCTGCAGCCCGGACTTGGGCGCAGGCAGCCCGGCCAGCGCGGTGCTCGGGAACAGGGGCGTTGTGGGCAGTGTGCTACTCAGCAGCTGGCTCTGAGACTTCACTGCCCATCCAGTGATGGAGAGAAATAATAAGACAAGCTTTTAGGTGTGCTATTCTCACCGACAGGGTATTTCCAGGTAGAGGCTGTGAGCGAGCAGGTCTGGGGGCTGAGGGAGGCTCTGAGTCTGACTCCGCTCCCTTCCTTGGCAGCAGCTGAGCTCCAGCTCTCCATCCAGTGATGGAGAGAAATAATAAGACAAGCTTTTAGGTGTGCTATTCTCACCGACAGGGTATTTCCAGGTAGAGGCTGTGAGCGAGCAGGTCTGGGGGCTGAGGGAGGCTCTGAGTCTGACTCCGCTCCCTTCCTTGGCAGCAGCTGAGCGGGGAGAGTGTTAAGAAAGCTCCTCGCTCCTCAGTCGTGAACATGGGCAAATGAGCTGTGCTGCTGAGAAGAACAGTGTACAATGTCTCCAAAATGATAGCGTTACCCCAGGCAACAACCAAAAAGCTGTCACTGGAGCTCTTTCAGCTGTAGCTCATGGACATTTATTTGTCTTTTTGTTGCTCCCTCCACGTTACTAAAAGTGAGAGTTACGTCTCTGTTTTCCCACAGTACGCCTGGAACAGATCGGAGCTTGTTTCAGGAGGGCACATACATAGTCTGGTTTTAGTGTCCACTTCACCCTAAGTGCTGCTGTCCAAGTCTGCAGGAGCCGGGTGAATTACAGCCCTTTTCCTTGCACCCATGCTACTGCTGGGTGCCGGCTGTTAAAAGGCAGGGCTAGGCACACAGCTGCGCTCTGGTCTCTGCTTCACAGCATCCCGGCTGTGAATAACAGCCGCTTGGCTGCATGGTACTGCTTGTCCTCTAGCAATTATCACAAGCGTGGTCACACATTCTCATTTCCTGCTTTTCTGGATTCTCTGAGCTGGTCCTTGGACTTGGTCTAGGCAGTACCTGGGACAAGTGCTCCATTCTCTCCCCAGTATCCCCTCTGTTCTTGCTAGCCCAGCTTTTACTACAGTAACAGCTGGCAGGCAACAGCCTGTCCTGGTGGTCAAGCAGTGTGTAAACAGGCAACTTCAAAAAACCCCGTTCCTTGCAATTCCCTGATGTGTGTCGGGGCGCTGCTCTGCAAGGGAAGGTGAGCCAAGAGTCACTGCAAGGCAGGCAGGGCAGTGACCCCACCAACAAGGAGCGCAGTCCTGCAGCACCTAAAAAAAGAAGAGCTGAGCAGAGCTGGTGCGGGTAGCCAGGTTCACCTAATAGTCCAGATCACCAGGCAAGTTTGCAGGGATCAGGCACCTGTACCTACAAGATCAAGCCAGAAAGTGAAGCCAGTGGGTTAGGAGCAGGGAGATACTTAGCTGGGCGCTAGTGTATCTATCACGTAGCTTGAGCAAGAATCAAGGGCAAGTGCCTTTGTTTAAATGCAGCTCTCAAGAGAAGACAGGGAAGCCCCCACTGAGGCTTTGTCATGCAGCTCTTTTCATAGCACTCTAGGGGGCCAGAGTCTTGGGGCCAGACTCTTCTCAGTGGTGCCCAGTGACAGGACAAGAGGCAATGGGCATATATTGAAACACAGGAAGTTCCATCTGAACATGAGGAAAAACTTCTTTACTGTGAGGGTGAGTGAGCACTGGAACAGGTTGCCCAGAGAGGTAGTGGAGTCTCCTTCCCTGGAGATGTTCAAAACCCGCCTGGACGCGATCCTGGGAAATATGCTCTAGAGGACCCTGCTTGAGCAGGGGGATTGGACTAGATGATCTCCAGAGGTCTCTTCCAACCTCAACCATTCTGTGATTCTGTGTGATTCTGTGAAGAGGTGGTGGAGCTTCTTAGCACATTCAGGGCCTGACAACGTGTTTTGTGATGTGACAGGTTAAGGCACAGGGGTGGGGAAGGCCAGTTTGTCCCTTGATTCCCTCTGTTCCCTCTTTTTTTCAGACTAAAAATCAGCTCAGTGTTTTCCGGGATCTCGGGCTTCAGATCATATTGACCAAGGAAGGGCAATGGGCCTCAGGAATCAGTTCTCCTCTTTCCAGAACTGTCCCCAGTAGGATCCAGAGGGAGGATAAAGAAAAAATAAAAGAGAAGGAATCCAGCAGGAAGGTAAGGTCTAGAGAGGCATATTACAACACAGTCAGCCCATTTCCACATCAGAGGTAGGTGGGGAACGCAGAAAGCAAGGGGCGCAGGGTGTTGATGCTGCATTGGGAGAGGACGATGACTGCTCTGCAGTTGGTGAGGAGACCTCAGCACATGATATAAATTGTGGCAGCCAGGCCTGCTCCATGCAGGCTTGATGGTCTCTCCCCCATGCTCTGGGAGCATCAAGGGGTGCGTGTGCCTCTTGCTGGAGCAGTCCAGCTCCAGACAGCCATGGCAGTTCCTTCTCAGAGCAGGGCTCCAGAGCCAGCCACGCAGCCACTGCTGTCCAGGAGAGGCAGGAGGAGGTCTACAGGCCTGCTTTCTGGGGGTCAGTGTCTCAAGATAATCCCTGATTAACTGTACGCTGCCTAGCCAACTGAGAGATATTCATCACCTTGAAATTTCAGTACATGCTGCCTGAACAAATGTACAACGTGGAGCATGGCTCAGCTGCTTCAGGTCCTTGACTTGCTAATGTGTTGCACTGCAAGCAGTCAGCAGTCATACAATTACTGGCTTTAAAGCCTTGTAACTCCACTCCAGGTCATATCCTGAATTTGTGAAGGCATGAGGTTCGTTGAATGGGAACAACAGACATCTTTTTTTCTTCAATAGCTGTCCAGTGCACTAAAAAACCTGCCATCAGATGTGCCAGCAGAAGCTGAAAATGTCACGTATCCCAACCAGGATGGACAGGTATCTCCAAAGATTTGGAAAGAATGCTATACCATCACTGTGTGAGTGTCTCTCAACTTTCACAAAACTAACTTCTGCAAGAGTGAACTGCGCAAGGGACATCTTAGGCAGATGCTGTCCTGGAATTCCTCCAGTGACACGTGGCTGGAGCACTGGGCTAGAAACTCTCTATAAATAATCAGGCTTTTATTTAGAAGAGTTCCTTCATATTTTGGCTTCTTCCTCCCGTCATCTAGGATGCATATTCATTCTTCAAGAGGATTAACTCTTTGGCCTTTCTGACTTTTCCTAGGCTCATTTCTTGAACTGGATTTTACTACTGTAAATGATTTTGAGGGCAGGTTATAAAACAGACTGTATGCAGTTTCACGGGGATTTGATGAAGATCTGTAGCTGTATGGTCAGTCTTTCATCATGCCAGTAGCGGGTCTAGACAGCAAGATTTTGAGAGAGCAATGTTTGTCTTCACAGCAATATGTTGAAGCAGGAACGTTCCTGGTGATGGAGATAAAGCTGGAGAAGGCCTTGATACCAAAACGATTGCAAGAGGATCTCACTAGACGGTGCGTAAAGACATGCCGTAACTCTGGGGCTGACATCTCAATTCTTCTGTAGGATAGAAACATGGCTATACAGTGATCTACCCCTTGGAGACTAACTGAGGGCCTGATCCAAAGCCCACTGAAATCAGGGGGAGGATTGAGCCAGACCTGGTACAGCATCCATTGGGTTTGGAAAACAATTGTGTTCGTTCCAGCTGGTATCCCTCAGCCATTCATCCCAAAAAGAGAGACACCAGAGCAATACAGCTTTACCCTGTGTTCCTATCCAGGTTTTGTTTCCCATTAATCCCCATGCACTTGCCTCTTGTGTGTGATATTCAGCTGCTTGGTCAGGATTGTCTACCAGTGTGGTAGGGTTCCTGTAGCATCAAAATAATATTCTTCCTTTTTTTTTCTTCCACAGTTTCTGTACAATTTTCTACCCGTTCTTCAGCTCTTACATTAGTTTTCACGTTATTCCACTGTAGAGCTGCTGTCTCTCATCTCTGCTGCTTCTAGCTTTCCACTGTCTGCTCAATTTAAGGCAGTTGCTGCCTGTCCACAGAGTGATGGCCTTGCTGTGTTACAACCTAGGGAAGGCCTCGCATGTATAATTTATTGAATAAAAAAGGGAAAATACAAGTGAATAAAGTATAACATGTATGGGCTGTATGTCTCTCAGACAGAAATATCAGCAGAAACCACATAGCAGCAGCCATTCTTTGAAAGGAGAGTGTGTGTGTTGTCTTCTGTTCTGCTTGTTATCTTCTAGAAAGAACATGTTTGATGAAGTTGAACCCCGCTGCCCACCCCTTACAACAGACCTTCTCCTGACCTTTCTTACACCTTTCCTACCCTACTACAACTTGCATGAATTCAGTGTAATTCCTCCTCATTCACCTGCCATGTGCAGCTGCAGATGTGAGGTCTGGAAACCTAGTCATTCTGAATCTTGGAAAGGACCCTGTGTTGGGGAGCCTCAGCTGACGCATACATATGTTATTGCAGATGTCATCAAGACTGATTTTTTTTTTTTTCTTGAAAGGTTGTTTACATAGATGTCTCATTAGCAAACCACGGCTCCGTTTCTTGGGCTGCATTCAAAAATCTGTCAGCTTCCACTTGGCTTTATTTGTTCGTTTGCTTTCTCCTGTTCCTGTTGTGGTTGATTTTCTCATCGTTAAGTGAAGCTGCCCAGTTTTCATCTGTGATAACACATAGCTGTGTTACAAACACATCAATAACAGGTCCTGTTTGGAGACTGATGAGGGTGGGACTGAATGTGGGAGCTGCGCTAGCCATTTGTTCAAGCTTTGTGGCTTCCCAAGGAGTGGTGATGGGTCTCTGCAGGGAGGCACTGGAGAGGCAACCAGTCAGGGCCACAATACTAGATAGCACAGCACAGCCGAGTCTGGGAGAGAAGCATGAGGACTTCTTGCTGTTTACAGAAACACTGCTTTACACAGATCAGCATCTTCTCTGGTGCACGAGACAGCCCCTTGCTGAGTCAGGTGCCAGGACATGTCTCATGTGGGGTAAGAGACCAGCAAGAGTGGCAGCAGCGGCAGGAGAAGAGTGGCCTTCCTATGGGCCCCTTTCAAGAGGGCAAGAAGGGCAGAGCTGAAGGGGAGCTGAGTCTCGCACTCAGCACCAAAACCTATCAGGTCTTTGACTATGCAGTGATTTTGTAGCTGTGAGGGTAGAAGTGGCCAGGAATCAGGACCTGGAGAAGTTAGTTGGTCAGAGGCTCTGTAGGCTGACAGAACTGTTACAGGAGTGATTTATCTTTGGTGCAGAAGAAGCATTTTGCTTTGCTGCTTGAGTAGGACCAATACAGGATGGGACGCCTTCACTCGGTGGGTGGGACGGTGGTCTAAAGATGTATAGTGTTTTGGTACCAGCAAGGAGGAGATCTTGCTAAAGAACCCGATGAAATTTAGGCTGTTTGGAAATCATTTTTTAATAAAACATTAGTTTTATAAAACATTAGTTTATAATATAGCTTTTATAAAACATTAGTAAAATTACTGTAATCCTAAAGGATTTTAGAAATGTTTGAAAGGTCATTGTAAATTGAGTAATGCTACAAATAAGGTGATATGGTATAAAGGAGCCAATGCATGGCCAAGGCATAAGGTGCTACAGCTGCGCTGCGGGATGTCAGGAGCTGATGGCCTGGATAGTCTGGGGTACACAGTGATAAAATTCTTCAGAGCTTTCCTCAGGTTGGTGCTTTTTTTACAGCTGTTCTGGCAGAGCGAAGAGCTTGTGAGTTAAAGGAATAACAACTTGGTAAGAAGGTCTGGTTCTGCAGGACAGTGGTTTGGATTGTTGGCAATAGCACATATTAACTCCACCTGCTGTGCTGTGCTGAGTTTCTAAAGTAGTTTTTGTGTGACAGGTCAGTCAAACCAGGTGAAAATAACAACTAAATAAATCTTTTCTAACCTCCATCGAGTGCAATCAGCAGCAGGGAGCGAGGCAGCAGTTAGTTCTGCTGAGACATTATGATGAGCTACAAGGATTGATTGTAGGTGCTCTGGGCTTTACAGCTCATTCTTGGTCTGAGATTTCACAATTTCTCCCTTGTTTGTCCGTGCGAGGTGTCTCAGGGATACGATGACAGGTCTGGAGCCCTCACACTGCAGGCTGCCTGCACCCAGGACAAGTGAGCATCGCTGGCAGCATGTTACGCTGGTCTCTTCTCTCCTCTCACTGAACAGGGTCAAGCAGATGATTCCTCCTCGCCCTCCGCTGCCTCGCCGGACTGCAGGAGCCAAGAAGGTACGTGCAAGAGCCTGTGGCCTTGTCAGCACTTCACCACTTCATTCTGCTCTCATCCCTCTCACACAGGAGAGCTTCATTTTCAGTGTGCCCCCCCAGCAAAACACGGATGAGATTTGCAGGGGAAACACGCAGACAGGAAACCTTCTGGATGTGTTATCTTCACAATATCGTGCCTGGGAAAACCATTTGTGGGCTGTGTTACCCCCGCTCATAGCCCATATGAGAAGGAGAGATCTAGGAGAGGCAAAGGAGAGAGTAGCAGTGTGGGGCTTTTGGAAGGGAGTTGGATGCTGGAGAAAAAGGCTACCAGAGGCTTGTATTTCCCCCTGGACAGTCCCAACCATTTCTTGTCTCAGACAAGCCCACGTGCTTCTTCAGAGCCAGACAAACATGAACAGAGTCAGTCCCTGGCCTCTCAGGTGACAAAGAATTTTTGAGGACTTTCGTGTGTAGGACATACCGACTCCAGAAAATGGCCTGAGAGCACTGGCTCATTTTCCATAAGCATGGAGCAGCCTTCAAAGGAGAACGTCCTTGGATGGCCCCTGGCCAATGGTCAGTTCAAAACAGCGGTAGGGGAAGAAGCAGCCCTTAGATAATTGACCCCAGTGCTGCTGCAGAATTGATTTGTGCTGGACTGTCTGGAGTGCACAGAGTGATATGTTTTGATCATTGCAGTACGTGGAAGCTTCTGCTACTGAGATTACAGAGATTACAGGCTCTGCTGAAGAGCGCTGGCCCATGGGTTTAAAGGGCTCCCAGCAATGCGATATATTTTACTTATGGCCAATTATGCTGCTGTAAAAGAGACAGTGATGACTGAAATACTGGGTTCTGATTGAAAAATATAGCAGAAGCAAAATCTAATTATAAAGGAGCTCTCTTGTATTTACATGTAGATATTTCCATAGCCCTCAGGCAAGGATGTGTGACAGACTAATTGAGACTGAGTCAGGTGGAGTTTATGTGAGGTGTGGGCTATGGCAAATAGAATATATTTTTGATTGATGGCACAAGTAACTTGTGAGGTTTTCTTGTTCATTTATTTATTTATTTATTTATTTTTCCTGTTGATTCCTTCTTTCTAGGCTGTGGAAGATTATCACAACCAGATCACAAGCATTGCTGTCGCCATCCTGAGTGAATACCATGAGCTGTTTGGGAAGCAACTGCCTGACCAAGGAGCGATAAATCATCAAACCCTGGAGGAACAGAAGTGTCAACTCGACTTTGAGCTCAATAGCTCAGGAAAATATTTCGCCTTTAAGGAACAGCTAAAGGCAAGGATTCTGTGATATTGATTTATTTCTCTTCCTGTTCCTCTCCCAGCAGTTTCTCAGTGAGGAACTGCTGCTCTGTGGTTGTATGACAAGCGTCATGTTACCCCAGAATCCCTTTTAACCACCCAGGGCTGTTGCAGCTGGCATCAGTACAGTCAGGTTTTTGCTCTAACAGAGCAAGGAGCAGGTTGCTTTGGTCACGGACCAGGAGAACCTTTCCTGTCAATGGGGGAAGGCTCCAAACCCAATCACGCACATTTGCCCTGTGGTCGTAGCCTGAGGAAGGCAAGGCTGACTGCTCTTGCACACTAGTAGTCTTCTTCTGGGAGTTCCACCCTCCAGGCCTCCCACATGGATGAAAGCAGGGGTCACCTCTCTCAGCTGGTCGCTCTTGGCCCACACACTGCCTGGAGGCCCTATCTCTGCACTGAGGCAGCCAGTCTTCCCCAGGGAGAACAGCCTACCCCGCATGTTGCTCCTCAAAGGAGTACATGTGTGACAAGGAGAGGTAGGGCTGAGAGGCAGGAAGGGAATTCACCTCTGTTTGCTTTTCTTCCTTTTATTGCTGCTGGACTGGATTTCTTCCTTAGAGCTAAGCTGGAGCTTCAGGCTAAATCTGTGTTCTGGCTCTGTACTATGATTACAGAGCTGGTGGAGGAGGCGGGAGGGAGCCTGCCTTTTCCAACAGTCGCATGTCTCTGCAGTATGCGGTGGTGAAGATTGTGAGGGAGAAGTACCTGAAGACAACAGCGTTTGAGTCCCTGGAGCAGTTCCAGGCATTTCTCAGTGAGCTCTATGTGTACCTTGTGGATCAGATGCATGTTGCTCTGAACCAGGTGGGCAGAAATCTTGACATGTGCCCAGTAAACTGGGATGGGTGACCTGGGACATAATGGCTTCATTGTGGAGCCAGGGCTTGACACTTCTTCTGGCGAAGGCAGCCGGATTTTTGCCTTCAAAACAGAAGCAGGGTTATGCTTTCATTTGCTGCAGTTATCACATGTGGGCTCTGAGCCACTCCCAGAGGCCCGTATTTAAGCTGCAGGATTTGGTGCATCTTTATCTTGTTGCTATAAAATCCAGATAGTGGGATATGTGTGAGGTGCCACTAGTAAAAGCTGCTGTACCTGGCTCTCACAGTAAGAGTGTCTGGGTCCATGTTATCTGGCACACTCCCCTAGGCAGAGGACAGATCTTCCAGTGTGAATTGGAGTCGCCAGTAAGTGACACCACAAAGGAAGTTTGAAATGGTTTTGATCTAGGGATGCTTTTAGTCATCACAGCTGCAGATAATGGGCATGCCCCTTCCCTGTCCGACAGAGATACCTGGGAATGACCTGGGTTCACAGGACTGCAAGGCTGTGTCCCACCACAGACAGCAGCTGGGACAGCTTGACTTTCCAACCTGCCCAGCCCAGCGACACCAGAGCATTCTCTGCATAGTGTGGGATTGGGCACTGTTGCCGTAGCGTGATCACATTAACCTTCCTCACCCTCCCCAGGGCTAATTCACTCTCTCACCCCTTACCAGGTATTGTCCGAGGAAGCTGCTGCCCCTGCCCCGCCGTCCTGCACAACTGATGAGCAGCTCCGGCTCTTTGCTCGTGAAGCCGAAGTCAACAAGGACTACAAACTGGCATCTCTCTACCACCAGCAGGTGAAGCAGCCCCTTGCTCTTTCCTGTGTGTCTCTCACGTGCCTGGGCTGGCAGCAAGCCTGCCACCACAGTGGCCAGGGGGCCCCTGTTGCTGACAGCTCAGGTGCTCACCAGCCAGCCGTGTATGTTGCGTACAGAGGAAAGAGGTGAACGTGACCCGGATACTCACATTCAGTGTGAGAGATTTCCTAGGCAAATGCTGCTCTCTGGAGGATTGAGACAGAGGCTGGCCAGGTCAATGAGGACTTCAGCTTCAAGGCCGGGGGAAATAGGGTGAGCTGGTCCAGAAGGCATGCTGGGTGAGCCCTGGGGACTCTGTGCCCTCTAACAAGAGGCTACGAGGAGGTCAACTGAAGCTGAAGGACATTGTGTTAGGTGAAGGAGGCTTAGAGAAAGACAGGCATGATTCCAGTTAAGGGAAACCCTAGCATGTGATAGACAAGGGCTTCATTGTTGCTAAACGCAGCTAGGGCGGCCAGAGGAAAGCAATGGTTGTTCCAGAGCTGCATCCTCGGTCTGTTACATGTGCTCACTGAGTGTGATTTCAGGAGTCCCTACTCCAGCAATGATCTCTTGTGTTCAGAGGGTAGCTCGGGACCAGCACAACATCCACTACTGGCTGGACTATGGAGCGTTCTGCCTCCTGCTTGAGGAAACAATCAAAGCCCAGGAATGCTTCCGGGAGGCTCTTCGCCTGGACCCACATCACATACAAAGGTACTGGGTGTTCCTGGTATGTGAGAGCGAGGGTGAGGGATGTCCCCCACGTCACTGGCTGGGGCTTGTGAAGCTAACCTATTTGACCCTGTCTCCAGCTTGTTGCTCTGTGGGATTGTAGCAGTCCTGCTGCAGCATTATGAAGAGGCAGAGATTTTCTTTGAGGATGCCAGCTGCTTGGAGCCATCCAGTGTTGTTGTCTGGACTCTTTCAGGTACAAAAGCAAGCCAGCCTATGTGCCCCGGGCATGCCTGAAGAGCCGAGCACTGCTCACCTCCCTGCTCCTCTTTCCCTTGTTCCAATCTGAGGAACAAGGGAATGATTTCTGCTTATATTGCTCTTTCTTTCTCCCATAGGTTTATTCTATGAGCTGCAAAATAATAACATTCGGGCAGAAATGGCCTTCCGTGAGGCTAACAAGCTACTGCAGGCACAGCTTGCCATGGAGAGGAGCATCCCTGAGGCTGCTGAGGGAGAAGGAAGGAAAAAGCAAATTTCTGCTGAGTGCGTGAGGCCTCTCAATCCAAGCCCAGAAGCGTTCTTGCCAGGTAATTCCTAACAAAACCAGCAGGTAGCCTGGTAGTGGCAAGAAGGGGGCTCAGAGCAATGTGGGAGATGGTGAACAGTGGGACCTAGATGGAGAAGTACAAAGGGTAAAAGGAGAAGACATGGACCAAGAGCTAGAATAGCCTGCCATGAACCGTAGATATCAGAAGCAGTAACAGCAGCAAGTGTGCTGTTTTAAATGCTGACGTGCTCTGAAAGCAGCACAGCCTGATGCTTTGTCTTACCCAGAGCCTAGGAAAGGAACCAGTCTTTGCTCTTATTTTTTTGGCCCAACCCAGTGCTGCTGACACACCAGTGTGTGGGCAGCAGCCAGGGTGACCAGAAGAAACAAGCCTCCTTTTTGAGCCTTCAGAAGAGTAGAGCTGCCATTGTGACAGTTTTATTTTGTGGTCATTCAGGTTTGGCTTTAATAAAAGCTGCTGCTTTGAGTTCCCAACACAGCTTGGAAAGCACTGTCTGACCTATTTGAAATGGGCAAAACAGCAGCTCGGTGGTGGCCCTGAACTGAAGGCCTCTTTTGGAGCCTCTCTGAGCCCAGACTTACCTTGAGCCAGGACTTTCTGTCCCGAGTCCTAAATATTTGGCCAGGCTGTGGGTAATACCGGCGTTATTTTTAACGCTACCACCACTCAGAGCGAAGTGCCTCCGGCAGGCAGGCCTTCGATGTCATATGCCTTTTTTGGCCCATTGCATGTATAAGGAGAGGGATGTTGTCTTACTTATAACTGTTCCCAGCTTCACACAATCATCTTGAACTCAAAACTCCCTCCCCACAGCTTGTGTCCTGTGAAGTCTTTTCAACCCAGTCCTGGAAACCTGACAGTGCTTTTCTATTTTATCTCTCTCTCCATTTCTGTGGGATTATGCTCCAACTGGCCAGTTTATGGCAAACTCTTTGTTTGCACCTAATGTTCATTGCGGAGTTTCGTTCCAGAGGAAGTTGAAGATGGCTCAGCCAGCAGGCTGCCAGAAGCAGTGGAGCCTGCCCCAACCTGCATGGTGCCTGAAGAGGATGCTGCTGCTCGGCAGAACACGAGGCCTAAGAACAAGGAGGCAGCCCCAAAAGGTTAGGGTGTGGGGACCTGGTAAAGAAAGGACAAGATCTCAGTGTTGGGAGAGGGCCTCTTGCTATCAATGGGCAGAGGAAGTAACTTGGGAGCACAGAGCTGTGGCCATCCTGATGCCAAGGCAAGACAGCAAGTTTTGTTTTCTCTCCCTGTCTTGGGAATCTTCAGCAAAGATGGCTTATCTTGATTTTCAGTGATACACTTCACGGTGAACAGCCAGTGGGTAAACACAGCTCTGAGGGGCTGGACCAAAGGAAGAACATCTGGGTTTTCTGTAATGGGTTTTGAGTCACTTAAAAGCTAAGGAAGTTCACTTTCATTTTTCCCTCTGTATCTCCATCTGCTTGCAATCCTGTATTTTTCTAGCATCATGTGGTGCAATTCTATCCCTCCAAGGGACAGGCATTGCATCAGGGAACACAGGAGCCCACCTTCCCACATAGGGACAGCTGCTGGATGGTGTCCGGGCCCTCTGGAGGGCTGACTGCCAGCTGGCCTGCCCTCGGAGCTGCCCAGCTCTCCTTTGGGAGCGGTGTGGCTGCAGTAGCTGGTGCTGTTCTCCGCTTGGTCTGCCCCGCTGGAGCTCCCACCCAGGAGGTGACTCAAACACACCTTCAACAGGCAACTGGAGCTCACCTCTGCCCGAAGCTGTGTCGACTTCATCATGTGGTTCCCTCCTGCCTCCTTTCAGCCTTGCTTTGTTTTGTCTTCTCCCCACAAGGCATGGCACTCAGCTGCCTTCATCTGCTGCTCTGTTGTCTCTCTCCTGAGATGCCAGCTATTACTCTGTCCCCACTGAGCTCCTCTGATCATGTCCTGTGTGATCTGCCTCCTCTCCAGCTCTGCTCCCCTGTGGATGGCAAAGAGATGGCAGTACTGGGTGCTCCAGGCTCTGCTGGATTGGGTTGGGCAGGCAAGGGCCTCACTGTAGTTAACTCTAACAAGTTTCAATTATAAATCCCTATGTTTTCTTCCTCTGTGTTTGGCCTGGAAGATTAGCAGGTCGAGAATGTAGTTTCCTTTCACATCTCTTAAAAAAAACTTAAGCCCTTCAAGAAAGAAATGGTGAATTAATCTCTGCTTCAGCCCTGCCACCTCCTGGGTTTTACGCTGTGATGCTGAAATTCCTCTGCCTTCCAGGGTCTCTTCCCCTGCTCTTGCTTCAGAAATAAAGAGACCAGTTAGGGACTGATGGAGACACCTTTTCTTGCAGCGCCACCCCCTGTTTCAGGACTTAGCCAACCTCCCTGCAGTATCTTCATGAAGACAGTGGACTTCCTGATGAAAGTCAATGCCACCCAGGTCAGTTCAAAATGGAGTGGAGGAAAGAGAGGGGAGGCTCCGTCTCCTTCCCAGGGTTATTACAAAAGAGCTGATGGCAGGCTCCAAATAGCCCCTATCTTGGGCTTAGAGAACAAGCTGTGCCCACCCCACATCCCAAGTGCCAGAGGGAGCAAAAGCACCACTGGCAAGCGATGCAAAACCATGGCCAGGGAGAGTATTCAGGCCAAAATGCTCCCTGGGGACTCAGTCATCCCAGGCAGGCAAAGTTCTTTGAGCACCTCAGCTCAGCACTGCTTGCTGTGGAGGGAGCAACCAAGTTGCAGAAGGTCCTTGCAGATGTGCTCTTCTCTCTACACTGGGAGAAGAGATGTATTATCGTGATGCTTCCCACACACCAGTACTCCTTTCTTGTTTCAGACACCTGTGTATGTGAGAGCAATTTTTAAATCACCAGTGGGGTGTCCCTTTCCCACATAATGATCTCTGTGGGATTTCCGTGACTGCTACATTATGCTAGCTGCCTTGATTTTACATGGCAGGGAGAGCAGCTTAAAGCAAAACATAACTAAAAGCAACAGAAAGTAAATTTTCAAAGGAAAGAAAAAAAGCTCCTGCCTGTTTCCTGTTCATGGAAGTCAAATAGGTGCAAGGCAGTGCTCCTGAAGTGTATGCTGCAGGCTGCCATCTGCAGCAGCGAGTGCTGGTTCCGGGCCTGCTGCAGAGGGGCCTGCAGCAGAGCAGCGCGCTCCCGAGGGTGCCTGTGCTCTGCCTGCTCTCCTAACCATGCTGCTGTGCCATTGCTCCTCAGTTTGTTCACATGGCGCTTGCCCACGAGCTGCTGAGCTTTCAGGGAGGCCCCGGTTGTGACTACTACCTGGCACTGGCCCAGACTTACTTGCTGAAGGAAGACTTCTCCAAATCTGAAGAATGTCTCCGCGAGGCCATTAGACTTGACTACACGGTAACTTTCTGTGTCTTAACATGTTCCAGTTACATGCCTTAAATTAGGAGGCTGGTCAAACACCGCGGCAAACTCTGCCTATATTGTTTCTGCGTGTGAACCTAGAGCCCATGCTTCGTTTCCACTTGAGCAAACTCTCATGTTAGTCTGCAACAATTTTTCTGGGTGAGGACAACCGTAGCTGATTAACTACATCAGGATGTGGCCTGCAGCACTGCCCTCCTCATTACCTAGCTTTGTATTTGCATTCTAACATTTTCTGCACAGAGATGCAGCAGTTGAATGAGGACTCCTCTCTGTGCTCTTTCCCTGTGTTGGTGAGTCAACCTCGCTTTCCTGAGAAACAGAGTTGCTATTCAGTAGAAATGGAAGTCAGCTTCTGAGATTGTCAGGTTGAATGGAATTCACAGAGGGCTGTAAACTGATGTCTCTGAATGCTATTTGCATAGTCACGATACCTAGGGAGCCTTGCACAGGCCAGGACACCGCGCAGCGATGGCCGGAGGGGGCCTCTGTCACTGCTGTTATGCAGACAGCCCTCCAACTTGATTTTTATTCTGTACATAAAATCTGCTCTGCTATAATCAAATAGCTGTCAGCTCTTCCTTTCTGCTGATTATAGGGGTCCCTGCCCTTCCCCCAGGTCTCTCTGCTTCCTGTTTCTCAGCCATGTCTTCTGGCTTTGTGTGCACAGAATCCAAATGTCTGGGCTCAGAAAGGGCACCTGTGCTACCTGAAGAGAGACCTTGGAGAGGCAAAAGAGTGCTATGAGCGAACTGTCAGTTTTGTGGTGGATGCTGCAGAGATGCACTTTGTCTACCTGCGCCTGGGCTCCATCTACCTAGAAGAGAAAGAGGTAAGGAGCCAGCAGGAGTGGAAGAGGGGAATTTTCCACAAAGCAAATAGCTATAGATTCCAGATCCCAGGTACAAAATGCCATTATGAGTAGGAGCTGCTAAGGTCGAACAACATACAAAACCTCCTGGAGCACTAAGCTCCTCAGAGCATGACCATGGTCTATTCCTTTGTGCCAAGCTCCAGACAGTCTCAGTCTCAATGTCCCAGGGGTGCTAGTACAGTAGTTTGTTATCGTCATTATATGAGTGAGGGGCACTTTTACACAGTTGTATCAGTTGCTGCCCAAGTAGAGCCACCTGCTGTGGGGGCAATGGGCAGGGTCTCAGCGCCCCCAGCAGCGGGGGGTACAGCACCCCCAGTGTCTGAGCCCCACTGGAGATGGGATGTTTGGAGAATTCCTGAGTAGAGGGGCTGGCTGTGGCGTGACACCTACATTGCAGACAGAAACACACTGCTCTCTCCTCTGGCAGTACGGCATGGCGAAGCAGACCTACCTGCTAGCCTGCAAGAACTCTGCATCCTGTCTCACCTGGCTGGGAGTGGGAATTGCCTGCTACAGGGTGAGTGCAAATCAGGTGTAAGATCCAAAGCATTCAAGTGGTCCATGCTGTAACTGGCTCTGTGGGACCTGGGGTGCAGGGCTTGCTTTTGCGTGATCCCTTTTATTAAGGAAAAGCTTGATCTGTCTGTGAATCTGAAGCTCCTTAAGGCTACCTTGTGCTGTGTGCCATCCCAAGGGTGGCATCCTGGGCTGCTCACATGGGAGATGTCAGAGGACAGTCACCCTCAGCAGCTGCCCTGAGAGCAGCGATCTCTCCCTTTCCCGGTCCTCTGCCAGGTCTGGCAGAGCCTCCTTCCCCAGTATGTCAAGGCCAGCGCGTAATCTGGGCCTGGGCTTTGCTCTGAGTGCCTGCCTGCACATGACCTGCATGTCACCACAGAGGAATTGAGCAGAATGTCAGCAGAGAGGAATCTCAGTGCCTCTGAAAGGCTGCCAAGGACACCCAGCTACAGCCACCAAGACTGCAGTGTCTCCCAGAGAGATACCTTGCAAGAGGCTCCTCCAAAGGAGTTTGGCTGCGGAAAGCAAGCAGGGAAGGACTCAAACTTCTCTGTTTTCCCCTTTGGCCAAATTTAGGCTGCCTGGGGAGTTCCAGACTCCTGGCCAGGGAGGTCTGAGTGGCGGCCTGAGAGCTGGATATAGCCTACAGGACAGGCAGTCTGGGCACCAGCTATCCCTGCCTCCAGGGAGCTTCTGCAGCTGTGTGGGAAGAGGGATCAGGACCAGAGTGATGTTTCAAATGGTGCTTGCACGCAAGCAGGTGATCAGAGTTCCCCCTTGAACAGCACAGTGGTTCCCAGAGGTGGAGGTGAAGGAGTTAGTGTTGCTTTCCTTCAGGAAAGCAGTTGGGGGCTGATCTGTAAGTAAAGCCAACTCTCCCACAGGGATTGGGAGTCAGTGGTAAGAGGCTTGCCCTCCAGGCCAGAGAGCTGGACACTGGCACTGACACTGTCTGGTTTCCTCTGTTGAACATCCTTTCCCTGCATCCCTGTCATGGGCAGTGCGGAGCAGCTCAGTGCCAGGAATCCTTCTAGATGCTTTTGTTGCACTGATTTCTTTGGCTGTTGGAGCAGGTGCTTGTTAAATTTTGAAGCATTTTCTGTCTGCTGTTTGCCTTCTGTTCACACCTCTCCTCTCTCTCTCAAGCTGGAAGAGATGGCAGAAGCAGAGGATGCTCTCGCTGAAGCCAATGCCCTAAATAACAACAATGCTGAAGTGTGGGCATATCTAGCCCTCGTCTGCCTGCAAGTGAGTGGCCAGCCAGCTAGCTACTTCAACCTCAAGCCTCATACAGTGGGGTGGGGTTTTATCTGCAAGTGTTCACGAGCGTGAAAAACATCTTGTAGATCTCGGTGGTAAAAACAGACTGAGGACTGCGTTCAGGGAAAAACACTGAAGCGTTCTGATGGCAGAAGAAGCACGCTTCTGCCCTGTTTGTCATCACCTAGCGCATGTTCCCTGTCAGGCATCCTTCTTGTTGAGCTCTGTTACAATATGTCGCTTTACTGAGGACCTGCGTTTCCTATAGCTCAGTTTCCTCACTAGCTGCTGTTGGGTTGCTTTTGCAGGGAGGAAGGCAGCTGGAGGCAGAGCAGTGCTACAAGTACGCGGTGAAGGTGAGCATCTCTGCGCTCCCCTTGGGCGCAGAAAGCAGGGCAGACGGGCCAGCTTGCGGGCTGCCGGAGAAGGGAGCTGGCTCCGTCTCAGGGCGCCGTTCTGAGCGCGCCCACAGGGCGAAGCGCTTGCCCTCTTCAGGTATAAGTTTAACTGGAAAATAAGAGGCCTCATTAAGGCTGACATTTCTGAGGCTCTCGCCACTGGCTCCCGCC